AGGTGTACTTCTATCAAAATACAACTTTTATCGCCGTCTTTTCCCTGGGCTCCAGTGTCAAAGGAGTCGTTTTCTTTTTAACCGAAAATGACACCTTTTAAAAGTCAGATTGACTCTTTCATTATAATGACTACTTGCAGAGTCGTTTTGACTCTTTTATATATTCAAAGAGTTAATTCAGGCAACGCCTTGTAATGGATGTTGCTGACTCTTTTAAAGAGTTAAATTGACTACTTCAAAGAATAAATGGTCACCCAGAAGACTCAATTAACCCTAATGAAGAGTCAAACAACTCTACTACATGCCGTTTTGACCTATCAAACACGACTCTTGGAGTCAAAGTGACCCTCAAAGGGATCAAAGTGACTCTTTCATTGTGTCATCTTTAATTAAAAGAGTCAAAATATCACAAGGGATCAAAACGACTCCTTTGTTTGTGACAGTGTTTGACTAGCTGTGGGGCTGGTGGCCAGCTAGAGGAGTATATAGCCAAGGTGATACGATCCTTGGTTAAAAGTGATACGTGAAACAAAGCCATGTAAATTTGTTTCCATAATTTTACTAGTTCAGTTTTTTTTAGAATAAGATGATATCACAAGACTGCATGAATTCACTCTCATTACCTTTAATAGCATTTCAAGATTGTAACTAAATTTAGAGCACAGATTGATATATGGAGCGCACTGTATGAACGGGAAACGTAATCCCATGTTTGTGTTCACTCGGACTGAGTCGTTCACATGAATTCGGCACTATAACTGTATAAGCAAATTCCAGAAACGAACCTCCACTGAGACTACGGAAATGTCAAAAAAATAATAAAAATTATATAACGTTTTTGCTTACGCACTCACGCACACTAGTACCCAGATCCTTCTCAGTTTCCAAAACGAAAATCAAGGCTCTGGGTGGAGACGACACAGTAAGACCAAGAATCTGGGCTGCGCAATATATGCATACTGATGGMATTGGGAATTTSCGAACTAATCAAATCAAAGTCCCATTCSTTTCCTCTATTTTTTACTCCGACGAAGGATTAACGTGCGAAASGTCAGTAAGTTGYTTCACCTACATTTTTACGATGCTAATATATTTATTTTTTTGCACAACTGTTACAACCACCAGAGCCCTCGATTTTCTGTTGGTARACTGAGGAGGATCTGGGTACGAGAATGCTGAGGCACAAATTTCTGGTAAAGAGTTGACAGAAAATCATAATTTTTGTTTGTGCACAGTTACTATTTCTCGAT